AATGTATAAGATTCAGATAATTTCTTTACTTAACTGTCTTATTAAATATCAATTGGAATTGGATAGTTGTTAATTGGCTTACCTAGCGGGTTGGGTTAGGTGTCATCACGACTAGTGGATTTAGGTTCGTTGTAGGGGCCATTCGGGAACAACATCTCAATCGCATACTTGTTGATGATGGTTCGGCTGTCAAAATCATGCCGAAGATGGTGCTAAAAAGGCTTGGGATCTCTATGGATGAGCTATCCAAAAGTAACCTAACAATCCAAGGTTTCAACCAAGGAGGACAACGAGCCATAGGTAAGATCCGCGTACGATTATCCATTGGCAAGATAAAGTCAAACACCCTGATTCACATCATAGATGCTAAAACATCATACAACTTGCTGCTTGGACCTCCTTGGATTATAAGAATGGAGTGGTATGGTCTACTTTGCATCAATGTCTGAAGTACAGAAGGGAAAAGACTCAATTCTCAAGTATTGGACTAGTAGAGAAAGTGATCCACATCGCTTAAGGTGAACACTCCACTTTACATAATGGGCTACGGAAACAGAGTGTACAAGGGCTATTAGACAACCTGTTACCCTCTTCCAACCCCACCCCTCACCAAACCTAACTGGCTGTCTTGTGAGCTTCTTAATGTTTAGTCTCCCTTCCTGCCCAGCTCAATCATACACACCATTCCCTCCCTCCCACTCTTCGGCATCAGATATCCAAAATCAAGAGCCTGTTAATGTAGCAAGTGATTGTTCTTATAATTAAGAATCAGATCTCCCAAATAAATAATTGTAGGCTCATTAAAAATCTCTGCAAGACTGATATCATGGGAAGCAGGTATTCATGAACTAAACAATTCAAGATCGGCATGGAACACAGATATAAGAGGGAGGGGAGGAGTACAAAACATGGAAACAAACATGAAACCTGGTTGTTGATGCAACTTTCTCATTTTCATTTCCAGTCAACCCTGCATTTCTTGCTGCACTCCATTCATTTGTCGACCCATTAACTGGTCCATAATAAAACTGAAGATAACCCAGAAAGAAAAGAGTCACTCAGAGAGGTTGTCGAACGAATATGAGCTCCCTCGAAGAACTAAAGAGTGATAGCTCTGGATTTCATTTCTTTGCTAGGATCTAGGATCCGAGTAAGAATATCCAATATCTGTGTAGGAAACAATATCATTTTACTTCTGTGGAACAAGAATATGACTAATCAACATTTTAGTAGAATATAAAATAAATTGCATTACCATATTTGTCAAGCTCTTAGAGATCTCCGAGTTACTGAGCAAGTAAATCAAAGAATGCACGACATTTTCTGCTTCCATTCTTTGGCATACGTCATTACTTCATCCAGAAAGACATGAAACAATATAATTAGCCATAGGTGCACGTTGAACTGGATAGATTAACTTAATCTTAAGCCAAGCAGGAACACAAAGTGCATAATGAATTCTGTTCCAAACTCTTTCAAGTTATAGTGTGAACTTTAAACCAAATCTAATACAATATGGAAGAACTACACTTAACTGCAAGAATGAGGGAATGAAAGTTGTGACAAGCCGAAAAAGTACTATGACGAAATTAGTAAAAGTCTTGGGTGTCAGCAACATCAAAATTCTAAATAATCTTTCTAACATATGTTGCTCTGGCTTCAAAGAAACATTTTAAAAGAGTTTTGGTTAACATCAAAGCAACAGAGTCATATTCACTCAAAAAAAATCACATTATGGCAGAAGAATTTTTCTCTCCAAAATGCATAGACCCGATCACTAGGCCCTTACTTAACATTAAGATCCAAAGAAGGAAGTTAACTTTTTCTGCTAGGTGCTAAGCAGAAGATTTCTAGACATTAAAGAGAGTCATACAGATTGAAATATTTAGCTGCAACAAGTCACTTATGTCTCATAAACATGGAAACACAAGAAGTACAAGACAAATTTAGCAAATAACAGCAAATCTAATAGAATCACAAGGATTGTTAATTGAACAAGTTGCTTTATAGCCAGATCCCTTTAAGAGCTTAGTGCATTACCAGAGCCATGAATCATATTTGCTTCAAAGTAAGCACATAATGGAGGAAGAATTCACCTTTTCTAGGGTGCAATTATCAGATGATTACGCCCCTAACATCAATATTAAATAAAGGAGAGAACTTTCACGGCTCACTGCTGAAAGTAAATCAATGAACCTTTACCACAGAGCCATAATCACATAGGACATAATTAGATAAGTCATTAATGTGTCTTAACTACATGGAAGAGTATAACATGTTAAAGTTAATATGATAACTACCTGATAGATAGCCTCTCCAGAGCCCGAATAACAGCTAATTTAACAGTGTCACTAGGATGGTTAATTAGCCGAACAAGAGGGTTTGTAGCACCTGCTTCTTTAAATGAAACCCGCATTCGCTCATTAATAGATACATCTGCAATGGTCTCTGCAGCTCTAGCAATAGCTGACTCATCTTCAAGTCCAAGAATTAAAACCAAGCAAGCCACGCCATCCATCCACGGCAAAAGAGTAAACCTTGGATTTGATGAAAGTTCACCACTGGATATATTATCTTCTTCAATTTCTATTGCCCCAATACGTGCAAGAAATTGCTGTTGAGTGTGTCCTACCATTGCCTTCATTTTTGCTTCCTCAATGTTTGCATTCTTATCCTCAATATTTAATCCAAGAAGTAATTCAGAGGCGCCATATCTTGAAGTTTTTGTGTTCTGGTCAATTTTGGTACCATCGGGCAAAGAAGGCCATGAATACAGAGCTGGCCTGAAGAACTTGTAGGCAACTGCACCAACTAAAGGGACCAGAAGAAGATCTTCCTCCATGATAAGAATCTAGCTGTACTCATCTTTCGCAAGTTCCAGCAACGCATTCCTCGCTTCTTTTTTAATGACCTTAGATCCCTCCACCTCAGTTTTCAAGAGCATTGCCTGCACAGCTCCAAGGTAATGAAATTCTCTGAGATTCAGTTTTGCGGCATCAAAGACATTAACCACTGAAAAATGGATTAAAAAATCCAGCCCTAATTATGCCACAAACTATAATAAAAAATGATAAAAACTAACTTCTTTTCTGGAGCACATTGCAGTAGACATAGAACAGATTCAACAAATTAACAATGTTTTTATAGATAAAATCACCTACATGTTATAAGCAGAAGATGAGACTAAGAAGCGTTAGACATTCTTGCTTAATCCAACTGCGTATAACAATCTCTTCATGAATGCCTTACTAGTTAATTACATTGTCAACTTGTCTGATCTTTTACATGGTTTGTAGAAGTAAATGTATATCATGCACCATGGCCTCCATTTCTTTCGATTTTACTCTGTATCTATTTGGTTTCCCTCCCTATCCTTGTTCAAGAACCAACTAATTATATTTTAGATCTTTCCTGTATCTTTTTTTTAGAACCGTGGTGTCCGGGCCAACTTGCGCGCACCTCGACTAATTCCACGGGATACCTACTACCTCCCACCATCTTTTCTGTGTCTATTAACTTCTATTAGGTTCTTTCCTCCCTATCCTTGTTCAAGAACCAGCAAATTATATTCTAGATCTCTTTTTCTTAATAGTACATGGAAAATCCTGGAGTTCCAGAAGGTAATTGATATAAAAATTTTGCAATTCTTAAGCACTCATAAATATATTCAAGACCAATTGATATCTACCCAAAAAAAGTGTAAGAACATGAATCAACCGATCTTAGTGTCTTACCAGTTTTGGGATGACACCTGCTTCAACCATATTCTTGTGATTAGAAACAGTCAATGCTAAATTAGCCAAAACCCTTGTAGCTGCCTCCTTCACTTTCACTTCTTCATCCTCCAGGAACTTTAACAGTAAAGGCAGGAGATCAGAGTTGGCAATTTTGTTTCTGAGTTTCTCATCCACAGATAAATTCCATAATGAACATAAGCTTGGCTCCTTCACCTGCAGAAATAAATTCAAGCTTGTGCCTCAAATGCTTGTATCAAAAAGACATGAGGACAGAAAAAATGAGGTAGATTTTGCACATTTGGGGAGAGGGAAGAACGTCTCAAGAGGCCGTTTATCTCTTCTATTGCACCACTATCTGCCACAAGCTCTCTGTACATATTCACTGAGGATATCATCCTCAAAAGACCAGCAGCTGCTTCACAAGCAGCATCAGACTCAGACCTTAGAAGGTTCACAGCCAGATTAACAGAACCCCGGAACTGCATTAACATATCAACACACTGCTTCCCTCCAAGTGAATACTTCCAGAGAGCAATGACTGTCTGTTCTCTATCTAGAGGGTCATAGTCCAAACCAAGCATCCGAACAAACAAGGCAATGTAACCGTCACCTGTGTTAGATGAGCTATCCTTTAACATATCAACATCCTGTAAATGAAAGAGGAAGATTCATCATCATGTAAAAAACATGCTTTAACTTGATGCAGATAAGCTCTGAAAGAGTTGGTGAAAGAAAGATCACCATTAAAAAATGGAAGTACTCTCAAGGATTAAGTACACATTAAGCAAACAGGTTTATATTTGTTTATCTCTAGGATTAAGAACTGGAGGTTAACAGCTTGTTTGGATGGTCGTTACTCATTGTATCGTATTGTTGATCGTATTGTTTCATTAAAATTGATTGTATTGTATTGTTAAATTCATTGTTCCGGAACAATGAAAAGTCCCATTTTTTAAACAACCGATTTGGTGTGGTGGGATTGTTTCCTATTTTTCAGTCCAATTATGCCCTAACTTATTACTCCATAATTCTATTTTACCGTTTACCTTTTTTTTAAATATTTTAACTCCAAATCTCCCACCTATAACCTACTTTGTCTTCGTACCTTTTTTTTCAGAACTTCTGCCGCTTCCAACTTCAACCTAAAATTGCTAATTTTGTTAGAATTTGAATGAATTTAATTGTTTAATCTATTTTTTTTTCTGATAATCGTGGTGTCCGGGCCAGCTTGTGCACACCTCGACTAATTCTACGGGATACCTGCCACCTCCCGCCAGCAACAGGTACCAGGTAAACTCTATCCACCAAGGCTTGGATAAATGGGAAGAAATCACCCGGTATTTGCCTCCGCTGTGATTTGAACCTGAGGCCTCATGGTTCTCACTCACTTCATTGATTACTAGGCCACACCCTTGGGTGCATTGTTTAATCTATTTTTAAGACATATTTGGTGATAAATTAGTAGAAAGGGATTTTCTTAAATTATTTTTATGCGTAATTATTGATAAATTTAATATTTAAACAATTGAGGGTATTTTAGTAAACTTATCAGTTACAGTATAGTACCATACAGTCAAACCAAACAGCAAAATGTTATTTAACAACCGCAAACAATACAATCCATCCAAACATTGTATTTATAAAACGATACAATACAATACAATACATTATAAAACGATGGGTAACAACCATCCAAACAAGCTATAAACCGAAATTTCCTATAAGAGACAAATATGATCCACATAACATTCACAAATGAGTTTGAAAACTCATAGCATGATGATCAAAATGCTTAGTGCAAGTAAACCGAAATCCAGCATGACAGAGTAGAGACTAAAAGCAATAAGAAACTAAAATACAAGCAACCCAGTAGGAGAAATAAACTTCACCTGGTGAGGGTTAACATAAACTTCACCCCCTCCATCACTGCAGGCCGCCCTTGTCCTTGTGAGACCTGAATACAACCTAGGGTTGTCTCCATTATAAAAACACAAGTTGGAATTATTAGCTTTTCTTGTTCTAACTGTGACACTAATAACTCCTCCAGGGGTTTGCAAAACTCCATAATTGGGTGGCTCGAGCAAGAGCTGTGCTGGGATTGGTAAGGCCATGTTTGGTATATTTCAACAGAATTGGAAACTAAAGGGTTTTTAGTTTGGTTTATTGGTTTGTTGTCATCCTCAAGTTTGAGTTCACTATACTTTCTCTAGTGATAATGGAATGTACCAGTAGCTTCGAAAACCAGAGTGACGTTGTAAAGAGATTTTTCTCTCTCCACCAAACTCCCTCAACTTCAGAATGTGCTATTTATTATTTAGGGGAAAAGGTTCATATATATCACTTAACTATGCGAATTAGGGCGATATGCCTGTCGTTAATAGTCTGGCACATATATATGCTCAATTCATTTAATATTTGCCCATTCATGCCCTTAATTTAACGGAACTACTATTTTGTCTTTCTTAAATAATTAATAATCAGACCCAACAAAAATTTATTGACCCGATTTGTTAGGACCCGACCCACCCTTATTTCAAAAATATTTTTTGATATATTATTTTTGTTTGATTGAGAAATTGTGGAATAATCATATTTATTTATTTGAGTAATTTGATAATCGATTTTTTTTTTGTTATACATCATTTCGGGAAGTAATCCTACTAAAAGTAGTAATTGATATTTATTTATTATTTTAATAATACAACAGAAGGTGCAAATACAGTATATTTTTGGTGTGTTTGGTATGACGGAAAATATTTTTTGAAAAATATTTTTTTATTTTTCACTGTTTGGTTGCACAAAATAGTTTGGAAAATATTTTTCTCGATATCACATTTTCCTGAAATTGGAGAAAAATGACTTCCCTAGAAAAAGGTAGGAAAATATTTTCCGAAAACTCTACCTACCCTTACATCTAACCCCAACCCCCTCCAACTTCAATTTTTTATTTTTTTTGTTTTTCTACGCCCCATTGTAAGGCCCCGTTAAAAATTTCCTAATGATTGAAGATTTTAAAGTGCACTAACGGTATTTGGGAATAACGTGTTCGAGTATTAAAGAAGACCCATGGGGTAGAACCACATTATTTTAAAATAAAAAATATATGTTTAAGGTGTGTTGAAACATACTAAGAAGTTTTGTGAATGGCAAGAATTTATGTGGAACAAGTTGGATATATTAAGTGGAAAGGATGTCTCAATTCGCACAAGATCCTACTTCAAACGAATGCTGCTACCAAACTATAACGACTTAGGAGGTGATCTACTCTAACGACCCGGGCGGTCGTTTCGAGAGTTGTAGCCCCGTTTCCCCATTTACTGCTCCATTTATGCCTTATAACTGTTATATGACTTATCGGGTTAGTTGGTTCGGGTACGGAGTAAATTCAGTGTGAAATGAGACACTTAGTCTCTTAAATAGAAAGCTTAAGTTAAAAAAGTCGACTGGATGTTGATCTATGTGTAAACAACCCCAGATTCAAATTTTGATGATTCCAGTAGCTCCGTATTGTGATTTTGGACTTAGGCGCGTGTCCGAAATTTTTTTTGGAGGTCTGTAGTGGGATTAGGCTTGAAATGGCAAAAGTTAAATTTTTGGGAAGTTAGACCGGGGGTTGACTTTTTGATATCGGGGTCGGATTTCGATTCTGGAAGTTGCAGTAGGTTCATGGGGTCATTTATGACTTGTGTACAAAATTTGAGGTCAATTGAACGAGATTTGATAGGTTTCGGCGTCGTTTGTAGAATTTTGAAATTTCGAAGTTTCTTAGGCTTGAATCCGTGTGTAATTCGTATTTTTGATGTTATTGGAGGTGATTTGAAGATTCGATTAAGTTCGTATGGTGTATATGTTCTGTGATGGATCTTCCGTGGGTCGTATGGGCCATATATAGTACCGAGTGGTTGATTATTTGAGAGTGTGAACCTGGAGATGGATCTTCTCCACAGGGTTAGATTGGCCTTCCTCGGTACTGGGTGACTTATAGTCAGTGATGTATATGTTCCGGGATGGATCTTCCGTGGGCCATATGGGCCATATACAGTAGCGAGTGGTTGAGTATTCGAGAGTGTGAGCACATGAGGCTACCGAACTTGAAAGCATGTCTAGATTTCTGCATTGTTATTTTCTGTATTGAACTGTGCCGGTTGAGTTCGTCACTAATTTCAGCCCACAGAAGAGCTATGCCGACAGGAATGTCCGTGATGTGTTTTACATGGTTGGGGAGAAGGTTCTACTAAAGGTTTCACCCATGAAGGGTGTTATGAGGTTCGGGAAGAAGGGCAAGTTGAGCCCTTGGTTTATTGGGCCTTTTGAGGTACTTCAGAGGATTGGGGAGGTGGCTTACAAGCTTGCCTTGCCACCTTGCTTGTCGAGTGTACATCCAGTATTTCATGTTTCTATGCTCCGAAAGTATATCGATGATCCGTCTTATGTTTTGGATTTCAGTACGGGTTAGTTGGATGGTGATTTGACTTATAATATGGAGCCGATGGCCATTTTGGATCGACAGGTTCGGAAGTTGAGGTCAAAGGATATAGCTTCAGCGAAAGTGCAGTTGAGAGGTCAGCCCATGGAGGAGGCTACTTGGGAGACCGAGCGGGAGATGCGGAGCAGTCATCCACACCTATTTGAGACTCCAGGTATGTTTTTAGACCCATTCGAGGATGAACGTTTGCTTACGAGGGGGATGATGTAACGACCTGGTCGGTCATTTTGAGAGTTGTAGCCACGTTCCCCTATTTACTGCTCCATTTACGCTTTATAGCTGTTATATGACTTATCAGGTTAGTTGGTTTGGGTCCATAGTGAATTCAATGTGAAATGAGACACTTAGTCTCTTAAATGGAAAGCTTAAGTTGAAAAAGTCGACCGGATGTTGATCTATATGTAAACGACCCCGAATTCGAATTATGATGATTCCAGTAGCTCCGTATGATGATTTTGGACTTAGGAGCGTGTCCGGAAAATTTTTTGGAGGTCCGTAGTGAGATTAGGCTTGAAATGGCGAAAGTCGAATTTTTGGGACGTTTGACCGGGGGGTTGACTTTTTGATATCAGGGTCGGATTCCGATTCCGGAAGTTGCAGTAGGTTTGTGGGATCATTTATGACTTGTGTGCAAAATTGGAGGTCAATCGGACGAGATTTGATAGATTTCGGCGTCGTTTGTAGAATTTGGAAATTTTGAAGTTTTTTAAGCTTGAATCCATGTGTAATTCGTATTTTTGATGTTGTTGGAGGTGATCTGAAAATTCGATTAAGTTCATATGATGTATATGTTATGGTATGGATCTCCCTTGGGCTGTATGGGCCATATACAGTACCGAGTGGTTGATTATTTGAGAGTGTGAACCTGGAGATGGATCTTCTCCACAAGGCTGGATTGGCCTTCCTCGGTACTGGGTGACTTATTGTCAGTGATGTATATGTTCCGGGATGGATCTTCCGTTGGCCGTATGGGTCATATACAGTACCGAGTGGTTGAGTATTCGAGAGTGTAAGCACATAAGGCTGTCAGGATGGTGCATCACATACAATATTGCATTGGCATGGTAGAGGTTGAGGAGTTATATTTTTTTTATATCATTCAGATTGATCCATTTTACTGTTTTAAGATATCTACCGAACTTGAAAGCATGTCTACATTTCTGCACTGTTATTTTCTGTATTGAATTGTGCCGGTTGAGTTCGTCACTACTTTCAGCCCATAGTTTGGGTTTGTTACTTATTGAGTTGGTTGTACTCACGCTACACCCTACACCTCGTGTGCAGATTTAGGTACTTCTGGTTACGGCGGCTGCTGATTGAGGAGATAGGATCTCGGAGACTATCGAGGTAGCTGCATGGCATTCGTAGGCCTTCACTCTCCTTTATTACCTTTATCTGTACTTCAGTTTTTACTCCTTAGACATTGTAGTAGACTGTATTCTGACATAGATGCTCATGTACTCGGTGACACCCCGATGATGGGATAGATTGTATTGTGTTGCGGGTTTATTTCAGTTTTAAAAAGGATTTTCTTAAATATTAAATTGCTTCCGCCTATATTTTAAAGCGTTTACTGTGTTGAGATAGTTGAGTAAAGGCTTACCTAGTTTCACGATAGGCTCAATCACGACAGTTGGTTTTTGGGTCGTGACATCTACCTATCAAATTCAAGCCCTTTGAGTCTAGTTTCTAACTCTTCAAACCGTTCGTCATTTGGACACTCCTACAAGAAGTTATGTTCAAATTCCCAAAGGTTGGAAGAATATGACCGTTCTATAACCCTCGCGAAGCCAGCTTTATAGCGCGCTAGACCATGCTATAACCCTCGCGAAGCTAGGCCTGTAACGCACTAGACCATACTATATTTTTCGCGAAGCCTGGTCTGTAGCTCGGTACAGATATCGCGAAGCCTGATTTATACCTCGCTACAGAGCTCGCGACGCCTGGTTTGTAGCTCGCTACAGAGCTCGCGAAGCCTGGTTTGTAGCTCGCTATAGACCGTGCCTAACCTGGTTTGTAGCACGGGTCTGAATTTTTGAGGGTCTATTTTTCTAATTTCATAACCCGACCCTAGTTCTTATAAAATGATCTTAGGTTCATTTTGGAGGGATAATCTGATATTTTTAGAGAGGGGAAAGTGCCCTAGAGTGAGAGGAGTAATTCCTAAGCCCTTGTTCATCAAATCTTGCTCAAGCCTTGAAATCCAACAAGAAATCCCTCAAGTTCTTTATCTAAGAGGTAAGGTTCCATACCCTAATTTTCAATTTCGAATTTGGGTAGAAGATGGTTGATTAAGAGCATGATTCTTGGGTCTAAGAGTATTATTTATACATGTATGTACCAATAAGGTTTGTGGGAAGATTGTTGAGCTCAAATAAGTAAAGATTGGTTATGAAATAAAGGAAATCTTGTAGAAGAACCTTGTAGTCAAATTTGCACACCTAGTATTTGATAAAATGCTCTAATGAGCTGAAACCACGAATATCTTCCTAATTATAGTTCAATTTATGTTATGTCTTAAAATATATTGGGATTGCTAGGATTTTTGGAACGTCGNATTTTCGGAACGTCGTAGTAATTTAAGGAAATCTCAAAGCGAGGTATGTTGGCTAAACTACTCTCTTAGAATTAAATTCCATGATATTCCCGTAAGTTTCAAGTATGGTTGTCTCAAGTTCCTTATTCCCATATTCCGAGTTATTCCCAATAAATTTGATTTTCCCAAGTAAGCAAAGTGTCGAGAATTATGCATTCAAAATGTGTTCCGAATGTTCCTATAACATTATGTTATCCTTCGGGAATATGTTCAAGAATGATATGTGTATTAAAATATTATGGCTTTGAGTAGTGTTTCAAATAAAAGTTATCATGCCAAATTGTGGGAGAAAAACTAGATGTGCTTAAGACCCTTAATTTCTCATATGTGTACTTAAAATCTTGGTTGGAAATGCCTTGTTGTTGATAATGTATAAAGATGCTCGAAAGTGAAAGAAGTGAGTTGGTGATATAAATTGTGGCCACCGTGCCAAGAATGAAAATTATACTGGTGGCCAATGGTACCAATGAAATGAAGTGACGTGAGAAAGGTTAATAAATGAGCCTTGATTCAATTGTTCCAAATTAACTTCGAAAATAGATTTGCCTAAAAGCTTATGTACTCAAGTCGTGCCCAAATCGGGTTGTTTCAACTAATATTATGCCTTGTAAGTATTTCCAACGTATTTTGAGATCTTATGTATTTATGAGTTGAAAATGTGTATTACCCTTTGGGAAAAAGTGTTTCAAGAATAAATGATGTGTTACTCGTTTATGATTTTAACTTGTGCTTCAATTGCCAATTATTTTACTCCATTTCTTGGAAAGAAATCCGTTGTGTTTAATGTCTTCACTACCAATGAACCTAAAGTTGTGATTTTCGAAATATTCTATTTGTTGATATTTATGATGGTGATCCAGGAAAGGAAAGAAATGAAAGTGTGGAATATGAAATACGGCCATTGTGCCATGAATGAAGAATCATATGTATGGCCAACAGAGCCAATGAAATAATGATATTGTAGGTGGATGAAAATGCCAATAAGGCTATAAATGGTGTGGAGGGTTATGAGGTAAATGCATTTGTATTGTTGTTTCCTTTGTATGCAAATCAAAAATGTATTTGGGAGTATCGATAAGTCACCGAGGAAGGGTAGGTTGAAATAACCTAACCCCGAAACTACATGTGCTTGTGTAGGAGTGGATTGTGATTATTCCCCTTATTTGGGATGAGATTGATGTGATAAAATTATTCCCCTTAATTGGGATGAGATGATTGATAGAAAGGATGATGTCGATCCACACGGCAATGTGGTGAGATGGCCTAGCCGACCGGGTCGTGATCGGACACCATGTCGCACACATGGTGGTGATTGTGCTGGAAATTATAATTGAAATTGTGATTGTGGTTGATGTCTCGGATGAGACGGCCCCACCCACCCTGCAAAAAAAATTAACTTTTTTTTTTTGTATTTTTGATTTTCTGTTTTTTGTTTTTTCGTTTTTCTGCACCACCCACCCACCCCAACCCCTTCACCCCCCGCAAAAAAAAATATTTTCAGGTCTGTTTTTTTATTTTCAATTTACAGGTTCGAAATTTTACGAGTTCCAAAGTTATGAGTTCGGAGGTTTATGTGTTTGAAAGTTTGCGGATTTAAAAATTATAGAGTTTACGGGTTCGAAAGTTTAGCGGTTTAGAAGTTTATAAAATTTGTGGGTTCGGAAGGTTGTTAGTTTGAAAGTTTATGGATTTATGTTTATTGTATCTAAATTAAAATTTAAGAATACTCTTGAGAAGCTATTTTTCTTAATTTGCGTACCAAACACCGTAAAATGAGTAAAATTACTACTTGTTTTTCAAGAAAATATTTTCTTGGAAAATATTTTTCACGAAAAATATTTTTTGTTATACCAAACACACCCTTTGTCCTTAATATTTACATGACACTCATGATGTTAAGGACATCATATCCTTAATATTTACACAACACTCATGAAGTTAAGGACATTATGTCCTTAATATTTACGCTACACTATGAAGTTAAGGACAGGATGTCCTAAAGTTTAAAACAAAAGGTGCTAATTCAGGATACTTTGTCCTTAATATTTATACAGCACTCATGAGTTAAGGCCATAATGTCTAGCACAGATGTATTTTTGTCCGGGCGGGCAAAAGTTTATTAAAGCACTGGCTAAAGAGTAAATATATTTTAAACAATTACTTAAGAGTAAATACATCTCTAAGTAGTAGCTATCTGTGCACTTCCCCCCTCTACTTCCTTTAATGGGCTTAGCCTAAATGGGCTATTAAGGGGAAGGTGGACTGGGGTTATTTACAGAAAATGACAAGAAATTACCTACAATTTTCATATGGCACTCAGTTTTGCGCCAAACGTTGATTTTATACCCACTTTGGTTGGTTCTTTGCATAGTTACGCTCCACTTAGTTAAAAATGTAGCGAAAAGATGATTTTTCCCTTTCCATTTAAAAGGCGTCTTTCGTCTGTATTTCTAGGTTTCTTTCTATCAATGTTTCTCTTTCTCTCGTCTGTGTTCGTTTTTCTTGTTAAATTTTCAGATTTCTCTAACGGAAGAACAACAGTCTTTTTTTTCGACAAGGTTTAGTATCCATTACAGGTATGATTTTAGTATTTCACATTTTTTCTATGCTTCAATTTGCCTATTATGCGGTAATATAATGATGGTTTTTCTATTTTTGTTGATGTTCTGTATGTTTAGTCTAATCATGTTTAATGTTTAAAGTAAAGGCAATTAGTTTAAACCCTAGTATTTCATTGATTAGTGGTAAAATTACTAGTTTTTATGGTTTAATTTGTGTTATTGGAGCTTTAAACTCTCATTTTTTGTTATAATTTATTTCTATATGTGTTTTTGGATTAATTGTGATGAATCTAATGATGATGAAATATTGCATTGTTCAAAACTTCATATTTTGAAGTATTCCGAAGTAAGCTCTTTTCAGAGGCTAACTTAAGAGACATGATTTTTAAAGTATTTTGAAGTTAGCTCATAGGCTAACTTCAGATATATAATTCATGAAGTTATATATGTTTATTCTGTGATTTCTTGTGAGGTTTTTTGGTTTATGTTTTGTACATATGTTTATTTTAATCATGTTTGGTGTTTAAAAAAAGACGAATAGTTTAGACCCTTGTCTTTCATTGATTGTTTTTAGGGTTTAACTTGTTTTAGGTTTTGATGCATGTTGTAGTTTCAAGCTATCATTTTGTGTGATACTTTATTTCTGTGGGTGTTTTTGGATTTTTGTAATAAAGCTAATGATGATGAAGTATGACATTGTTCAAAACTTCATATTCTGAAGTATTCTGAAGTAAGTTCTTTCCGGAGGCTATCTTCAGAGACATGATTCATGAAGTGTTTAGAAATTAGCTCTTTTCAGAGGTTAAATTCATATAAATGTTTTTATGAAGTTATATATGTTTATTCTGTGATTTCTTGTAAGGTATGGTTGTGTTGAACATTGTAGTATTTTCTTAAAATGATGGCACTTAGAAGCCAAGAAAGTAGCGTATATGAAGCTGGTAGAGAGCAAGGACGAGGAGGAGAAGAGGACGAATAAAGAGAGGTACAAGAAGGCCAAGAAGGAGGCGAAGCTAGCGGTTACATCGGCTACGACTGTAGCGTTTAGACATTTGTATGAATATCTTAGGGATAAAGGTGGGGACAAGAAGCTGTACAGACTAACCAAGGCGAGAAAAAGGAAGGCCCATGACCGAGACCAAGTGAAGTGCATCAAAGATGAGGAAGGCAGAGTATTAGTGGAAGAGGCACATATTAGACGTAGATGACAAACATACTTCCATAAATGCCTAGATAAGGAGGGGAAAGAGTCATTGAGTTGGGTGATTTGGAGTACTTCGAGAGTCGTCGAGATTTTAGTTATTGTAGGTGTATAAGAATTGAGGAGGTCGAGGGGGCTATGCATAAGATGAGTAGGGAAAGAGCGAGTGGGCCAGACGAGATCCCGGTGGAAGTTTTGGAAGAGTGTGGGTATGGAAAACTTGGAATGGCTCACTCGGTTATTTAACAACATTTTTAGGACGAAGAAGATGCCTGAAGAATGGAGGTAGAGTACGATAATTTCGCTGTATAAGAATAAGGGTGATATACAAAATTATAACAAACTATAGGGGTATCAAGGTGCTGAGCCATACTGTAAAAGTTTGGGAGAGTGTGATGGAAGCAAGGGTGAGAAGGAGTGTATCTATTTCTGAAAATCAGTTCGAATTCATGTCGGGGTGTTCGTCTACGGAAGCCATTCACCTTGTAAGGAGGTTGGTGGAGCAGTATAAGGAAGAGGAAGATGGACTTACATATGGTGTTCATTGACCTAGAGAAAGCATACGCCAAACTCCCAAGGGAGGTTCTATAGAGATTCTTGGACGTTAGAGGTGTTCATATTGCTTACACTACAGTGATTAAGGACATGTATGATGGATCTAAAAGCCAGGTAAGGATAGTGGGGGAGGGGGTCTCGGAACACTTTACAGTTATGATGGAGTTGCATCAGGGGTCAGCTCTTAGCCCGTTCTTATTTGCATTCGCGATGGACACACTGACGCAACACATTCAAGGGGAGGTGCCTTGGTGTATATTATATGCATATGATATTGGATTGATTGATTAGACACAAGGTAGTTTAAATGAGAAACTAGAGGTCTGGAGACAAACCCTGGAGTCTAAAGGTTTCAAGTTGAGTAGGACCAAGACAGAATACTTGGAGTGCAAGTTTAGTGACAGGCCCAATGAAGAGGATGTGGACGTGAGGCTTAATACACAAGTTATCCCTAGGAGAGATAGTTTTAAGTATCTTGTGTCTATTATCTAAGAAAATAGGGAGATTGATGGGGATTTTGCACATCGTATCGGAGCAAGGTGGGTGAAATAGAGACTCGCATCTGGTGTGTTATGTGATAAGAACGTACCACCTAAATTTAAAGGTAAGTTCTACAGAGTGGTTGTTAAACCAATTATGTTGTATGGGGCAGAGTGTTGGCCAGTCAAGAACTTTCATGTTCGGAAGATGAGAGTAGCATAAATGAAGATGTTGAGATAGATGTGCGGGCATACCAGGATGGATAAGATTAGGAATGAATATGTTCGGGCCACGGTAGGAGTGCTCCGGTGGAAGACAAGATGCGGGAAGCAAGGCTTAGATGGTTTGGGCATGTGAAAAGGAGGAGCGCAAATGCCTCGGGGAGGAGGTGTGAGAGGTTGTCCCTGGTGGGTTTGAGGAGAGGCAAAGGTAGTCCAAAGAAGTATTCGGGAGAGGTGATTAGGCAAGATATGACGTTGCTTCAGCTTACCGAGGACATGACACTTGACAGGAAGGTATGGAGGTCAAGAAATAAGGTAGAAGGCTAGTAGGTTGTCGAAAGTATCTCTTTTACATACCAGTAGCATTAGTGTTAGTCCGGTGCGATATTATTGTTAGATATCTAGTTTTATGTGTTGTCCTCTTTACTTCGTTATCTTGTTGTTGTTAATGCTTATGCTACTACTTTATTTTCATCTTGCCTTGAACGGAGGATCTATCAGAAACATCCTCTCTACCTACCAGGTATGATAAGATCTGCGTACACACTATCCTCCCCAAACCCTACTTATGAGATTATATTGTATTTGTTGTTGTTGTTGTAATATATCAGTGTAATCCTTATAGATCCCATCTGATGGGTCACAACTTGAACTAAGTTCTAAGAGGAGAAAGTTATCCCCCCATGTCACTGATATCCCTCAATTCGATATTTGTTCATTTTCACTTGGCACTACAAGAGAGCCCTGTAGAAGGCGAATCTTCTTTTGTTGCTACTCAAGTAACAAAATAATGTCATACGCAAGAGGTTGTTGCAGAGCAATTTGTTGCTATGTGTGTGGATGGTTCAGCTGCATCTGAAGCAACGATTTAAGTTGATACCGAACAACAGCAGGATGAAGCACATCCAATACCAGCTGAAGTAGGTGCTTTAGGGAAAAAGAATTGCAATCTCAGTCATTGGTTGAGAATCTATATGTCACTCATAAGACAAAGATAAAGGGTGCATATACGAAAAAAGATAAGCATGTAAGACGATGTTCATTCCATTATGTGAAGCAAGATAAACAAATATTGCAGAGATTTACAAAATGGTTGAAGGCGAGCAAGCGGGAACATGAGTGTACGTTCAATTTGGGTTCACTCACATTGGATAAGTCGTTCCTTTTAGAACTTACATACCCTAACTTTGATCTTGTGGACAAGGTATGTGACCGGATCCTAAATTAGTTGTACACTTCAGATGTCATACTTTATGTTTTCTTTTATGTATATGTTTCTAATATTTTCTATTTTTTTGCTCTGTTGAGCATATCGATATTGGGGTATACTATTAGCACAATAAAAATTGCTATCACCTTTTGGATTATCCATAATCAAAATGCACTACAACTGATTTGGTTTTCAATAAGTTTGTGGTCAAACTTGCTATAGAGTGTTCGTTAGAAGAGGATAAGAAGAAACTTGTGTCTAAGCAGTTAAAGAGTAAACCAAAGACGAAGAGGGGTAGGAAGAAAGAAGTTGAGGTAGGTGTACCCATACAACCAAATGAACTTAATGAATTCACTTGGTTTGAAGAAGAATTAACTAGGCATAAGACGGCTAATTATATAATAAGCATTGAACACTCATGTTTAATCTCGTGGGTTTATGTCGATAGAGTGTTTATTTCAATTGTCTTGATCAAATAGCTGAAGATCAATTATAAACTCATTACTTGTTGGGAGTGTTGGAATTTAAAACAAAAACAATATATGTGTATGACTCCTTACACAATAAACCGTACGAGAGGGCAATAAAGCTCATCAAACGTTTTGCTCGACTTATCCCACATATGCTCAAATGTATGAATTTTTGTGGTGAACATAAAGACTACAAAAACGATGTTACTGAATTTGAGATCAAGTGAATGGTTACACCCCAACAGGAGAACAAGTATGCACTGACATATATTTTTCTTTTTAATTTACATGCAACTTACATTTTTGTGTTGTTTTTGTTGAATCTTTCAATTTTCTTGCATGTGTTTGCAGTTTTGATTTCGGTGTATTCACCCTCAAGTTTATTGCATTGTTGATCAAGCAGGAAGATGTTCACAAATTCCAACAGAGTGATGCTTCTCTTCAGAAAATAATTGGTTGTCAACCTGCTCTTCAGAAGTAGATTCTGCGATCACGAAGGGTATCACTGGACAAACCCTTAAGTACTCTATTTTGAGGGTTTTGGTTATTTTATCACATTTTAAGATCTAGAGCTCAGATTTGGGTGATTTTAGAGGGAATTTTCACTATTTGGATTGGGGTAAGTGTTATTGACTCGGATTTGTTTATTATTCATCCTTGATTTTAGCGTTTGATCGGTCCAAGCTATAATACCCGGTATTTATGGACTAGTGCCATACAAGGTGCCCCATGACCACGATAGTAGGGTACATAAAGTGTGTTAAAAGTGAGTAGTATTTTGAGTAATTTGAGATAATTCTTAATTATGTGGTTAATTAGTTATTATTGGTTAATGGAAGATTAACTAGTTAATTAAAGAATTTAGGGGTAATTAATAAGGACTTTGGATAATTATTAGGGGAGGCAACTATCCACGTGGGATTATGAAAGTGTGGCAACAAATTGCTTGCCAACTAATCTTATACTTAAGGAGGTGGTGGCACCATTTAAATTCATGTGCACCTTATCTCATTTTTGGTTGAAAAATGCTATTAAGAAAGGCTCTCTAACATCACAAATTGGAAGAGACTTATGACTACAAAGTACGGATGAGGTTACAATGAAAATTCAAACGAGATTTCTTAGTATCTTAGCAACGTTATTGAATTGATCACATCTTAAGAAGAAGGCTTCAGCAAAGATGATTTTGCAATAGCAACGTTATTGCTTCAAGCATTTCATACAAAGATATACTGCGTAATAGCAACGGGATTTGCAATTCTAAGAGAGCACGGCACAATCTTTCTCATAAACATCATACATATTTTTTCCTACTTCTATCCGCCGTTAAGTGTCTTTTTCGCAATTGACGTGTGTTAGATTGATTGTCAAGAGAATCGGCTCAGGTATGTTAAGGTTATCCCTTCTTTCTTTTTGGCATGATCCATACGATACAAACGAAACGAGTAAACGCATAATTTTCATAAATGACTCTATTCATAGAAGTACTAGGGGTGTCTATATTCTTGATTCCCCATATGAATTATTATTATATATTCTGTTCATGGGTCTTAGAAAAATACGTATTTGATAAAGTTTATCCGAAAGACATATTGATTTTATGACATTCCGAGAAACCTTATTAACGCACTTCTTATGCATTTCATTCATTTATACATGTACATTGACCCATGACCAGATGGCGTTATATACGCGTATATTATATGTATGTGGGATATGGGAAAAGGTTATGGCGTTATATACGCACCACCACCTGATCAGCTGGTATACATTGACGATTTGCCCACAGTGGCCGAGATGATATTATGGGATGCTCTCAGAGGCTTGATGATGTTATGAACGCATATACCTATGCATTATATGACATTTATACGCATATACATGACATTATAAATATGAAATGATTCATAGAGATATTCAGACTTACATGTTTCTCTATGTCTTTTATTTACTAATTTTCATTCCTTACATACTCGGTACATTATTTGTATTGACATCCCTTTTGCCTGAGGATGCTGCGTTGCATGCTCGCAGGTCCCGATAGACAGGTTGAAAGTCCTCCAAGTAGGCTATCAGCTCAGCGGAAGATGTTTGTGCTCTCCATTTGCTCCGGTGTTGCTTATTTGGTCAGTATGATATGGACATGTATTGTTTAATATGGCGGGGCCCTGTCCCGACCTTTATGGTGTTTATCTACTCTTAGACACTTGTAGTAATATGTCATGTATGTGAAAGATTTTATGGCCTTGTCGGCCTATGTTTAGTGTACGAGTGATCATTTTGGTCTTGTAGGACCGTATGTCATATGTATAAGTTTGTATTACATGTTGGATCATCCAATATTGAGTGTTTCCTTATGTTTTATTCTACTTATCTGACGACAGCCTCTCTGGCTCATTTATCTATGATAATATGATATGGAAGATACGTTACATTGGTACTCGGTTGAGTAAGGTGTCGGGTGCCCGTCGCGGCCCATCGGTTTGGGTCGTGACAAAAGTGGTATCAGAGCAGTTATGTCCTAGGGAGTCTACAAGTCGTGTCTACTAGAGTCTTGTTTATGGGTGTGTTGTGCACCACACTTATAAGTAGGTTTTATCAGAGCTCACTTGTAAGAATTCGAACTCCTAAATTCTATTTTATTCTGAATACAACGATACCTACCTCCAGAAAGACAGTTGGTAATAGATTGAATGTGGCTATGGAAGAGTTGAGTCAGAGGAACTCGATTTTGCATCATGCTTATGATGAGTAAATGTGAGGTCTTCAGCAGAACATGTGTATACTAAGACGTGTAAGCTTCTTGATAAGGAGACCAAGGTAAGAATATCTATCCACCCATATGGTGAAAAGTAATGAGAGATTCAGAAGGTAGATACAAGTTTCAACAAATAAAAGAAGCAAGGTGAAGAAGGGTATGAGGCGCCCAGTTAATGAAGATTATAAGTATTTACAATTCAGGCAGAGAAATATAAGCTTTTTGAGTTACCTTCAACAATAACAGATGTATGTACAACCGGCCACCCCATCTCAGATATGCCATATGGGAGATAACATATATGGTTTAAGAGAAGGACGGGATATCAAGATCCGGCTGGGGTTAGAGTAACCCAAAATGATGGATGGATTGTTTGCGTTAGCTAACATTTCCGAAGGATATTGCAAATGTGCTAATAGATATCCTTGTGAGACACCCAGATGGTGCACTCTAAAATAGTACAACTAGATATGAGTGCTACAAATATAGGCACTAGAAGCTTGGAAGGGATAAATATTATCTTAAGGTGTCTCCCATCTCTAGTAGAGAGAGAATGTTAGGCAACCCGAAGAGTCAGTGGATGGATCAAGGGGAGCTAAAAGCAAAAGAATGTTTTGTTGAAGTTTTCAAAATAAAGTGATAGACAGAAAGGTCAGCAAGGAAATAATAAGAGAGTTAATGAAGTATTATGAGTAAGATGTGATACATGGATGACAACGGTAGATAAAAGAAAAATAGTATTACAGAGTCTATAGTCAAAAGAAGGAAAAGACGAGAGGTGACAGGCCTTGAGACAACAAAAGAGTATAGGCCATAAAGTCATATCCTCATTTCGAGAAATAAGTTCATGACTCTAACATGATTAACAAAAGGAAAAGTTAGACCCCAGAGTAATAGGGATTGAGTGATTTGATAATAGTCGGCATCATGAGAATTTCAGAGATTGCGTTCCGGCGATAATAGAATGGACGACAGAAGATTACCCTTTAAAGGTCATTCATGAAGGCGCTTCACTAAAGCAAGCAATGTGAGCAAAGTTAAGCTTAAGGGACTATATGTGCCAGTTATACTAGGNCATTAAGTCAAAATTAAGTGGTTCTAGTAACTATGGAATGATAAAGGAAGAATGCGATAAAAATGAAACAGGGATGAGATTGCACTTATTGAAATCATACAGATATGCTATGATTCCAGAACATTATGCAAACACGATGTCAAGGAGAGGAAGTAAGGTTCCTGCCCGAGATGTTATTGATAAATAAGGAGCCAGTGCGAGACGTAAGTTAAGATAAAGGAAATAACCCAAGAAAGATTACACGGAATGTTGATATGAGAATGGGCCAACGAATAGTTAGTAGTTGATTCAGGAAGAGCCTAGTTATGGCTAGATAAGAGGATACAGACAAATCAACAGATCGTGCAAGATAAATATAGTGAACCCCAACATGGGGAATTCCGTCTCGTGGGTATGACATCGTGATCCTTGAGAAATATTCAGATATGAGTTGGGATAGTTAAAGGTACTATATGAGTGTTACGAAAATAAAAGAGAATGCCACTGGAAATACAGTCAAAATATCAGTTCAGAAGCAACCATACAAGTACCAGGACATGAAGGTAAGTAACTACAGATAAATATAGGCGAGGAAGAACAACAAAAATTTTGTCAAGTATACGATGTGATAAGCTCGCAGCTTTACAAGAGTCAGAGGGTCCTCCCTAAGTGCGACAATGAAAAACTAGCTGAGGAAATAAGGAAGAAGGCTTCAACCTAAACATAGTAACTTGAAGAGGAAATGGTCTTGTAAAAACAGTCCCACTACAACATTGCATGCACTCCATAAGAAAGTGGCACCTACCGTGGTTAGTGAACGGGAAGTAAAAATCAAAAATAATATTCGAGATCATATGAGTTGTATAAAAATTCCGGCATGCGTGGGAACTAAGATAAGCTAAGTATGAATGCAACAAGGGGGCATAAAGCTGAGAAAGAACGAAAGGAATTATTCAATCAATGATCCAGAGTTAGTTACATTATGAACGCACTTAAGACGGAGTATTATCCATGCAACATATATGTTGACAATCATACAATCGTAGAAGACTCCAGTATAAGTTAAAAGAAAGAATTGAGTCCAGGTCAATAGACAAAGGGTTGAATTGTTAGAAGGTTGTATTAGGGATATTCCATAGCACGCATGAAAGGCTAAAGAAATAACTAATACCAGGAGCCGCAGATCGGAAGATAGCTTAAGCCTCCATAAAGGCTGATCAGAAGGAAGAGGAAACTAAAGAGTTACATCAACCAAGTAAATCAGGAGTCTGATTATTGGACCCAGAAAAATTATATAAATCGTGACTGACAACATAGCGGAATCACTCTTAATATCAGAGGTACAAGAGAGATAGTACAACAACCATATTCTATGACGGCTCTACGATAAAGCCAGTTAGAAGAGTATCAGCCTCATAAGAAGTCAGTATGAAGCTCCCACTGGATTGTGTATGCACCAGAGGTGCAAGTATTATAATAGAGCTTCAAGTTGTGGATGTGAATTATACCTATGTGGAAGGGAGATCATGAAAGAGATAGAAAATGTGATGCGATATTTTAAGGTAAGTAAGGTAAAGGTAAACAACGTACGGGATACTCAGGTGCAGAAGGTTGTGAATAATTTATACTTCAGATAGAGGGAGAGAAGCGTTGGGATTCGGTATCCAGGAAGGATAACAGTGTCATTAGTGGCATATCTTCCAGCCTATGGTTTCCAGGTATCGAGAGGTCTAGTTAAAAGAGTAGAGAAGGTTTTGAGATGATGTGATGTCTCGCTTGATGTTCCAGAATAACATAAGGAAATCTATGGTGTAAGCAAGTTGAAGGAAAGTTGCGAGTGGTATAAATGGATATGTGTA